CGTGATCCAGTTTGGGTTAGAAGCAACAGCATGCAAGCTGAGCAGTTAAACACATTACTGTGATATTACAGTATCTATTTTTTTTTCTATTTGGTACTCATTTTTTTGAACCGCCAGTATTTTTAAGTTTTACTCTTACTGATAAATGTACAACTGGAATAAGTGTATGCAGGCATTTAAGCTCTTAAGGCATTTAATTCTCTTCCCCCCTCCATTTATACCTACGATTCCTCCCTACCATGAAACAGTTTGCTGCTAAATGATACACCCATACTGACTGGTTGCCCTGGGTGCTACTACTACTTTGAGCAGTACACTGATCATAAGGACTTTGAAGACTGATGACAAAGTTTTTAAAGGTGTTGCTGATGTTGCAGCAGCAGGGCCTTGTTCTGATGCAGTATAGGAAACAAGAAAAATGACATCAGCACTTTACTATAAACGGACATTACATAAAAAATAAACAAAAAAAGTGTTTTTGAAAAAAAAATTCCCCAGCCAATAGACTTATTTTATCCTATAATTACTGAAATTCTCAAACTTTATTTTTTCTGGGTCTCAGGAGGTCAGAGATGACACAATACCATGATATTGAAACTTCAACTAATACCAAAATCAATCTGATGTTTTTTTCTTTAAAAACTACTAAACTCTGAAATGAGCCATCTTTCATTAAGGCACTTCAATATAAAATAAAAGCAATCTACACTAAAGAAAAAAATGCATAGCCATCAATGACATCTGTGGCAAAACTACAGCATTTAGTTAGTTAAACTCTCCCACAAGAAAGCGCAATGTGCAAAATCAGGCTATTGAATATAAAGAGATCGTAGCTGCAGGATAACAGTAGAAAATAGATTTGTTTCCTTGTTGTTCTTATGACAATGTTTGGCTAACTGTGGCTGCTGTTATGTGACCTACTTTACTTGACTTTAAAATATGATTAGCTATAAACAATCATGTGATATATATTGTTATAAACAAGGAGCTGCACCCAGATCTATGAGGAACACTGGAAACAGATCAAATCGTATCTAAAAAGAACAAATAAGACGATCCTTTATTAGTCCCACAACGGGGAAATTCACAGTGCTACAGCAGCAAAGGGACAGCAAGGCCAGAAGTAACAAGAAGAGAATTAACAAGCAGGTAATTAACCTTGTTAATTACTTAACAAGGTTAGGGTTTGTTACTTGTTACTATACAGACTATATATATATACTTGTTATATAATCTATATTTCTGTATCGGCTGTTATCTTTGTGATTTTTATTGTTTAAACTGCTTTGTCTGATCAAGATGTAATCAAATTTTGGATATCTATTGCTATTAATAAACAATAAAAACAAAAACACAGATGTTATTACAGTCCCAATATGTGTGCAACACAAAATGTGAACCAACACATTTATAAGCCACACATTCAGAGGAAACACACATGCACACAAACACGGCTCATCAACACCGGCTCTTCTCCAGCTGTGTCCTCGTTTCCTGCCATGGAGCATCTGTCTGCCTGTGCTGAGCTCACACACACATTCACTCATTCTCACCCTCCTCTATCACTCTCCTCATTCACAGTCAATCACTTCTCTCTGCCTCCTTGCACATTCATAATTGCACTGCCTTTTTTTTTATCTCAGGTTAGATCTTATTGCATATTTTTGTATATTTCTGGTTGTTTATATGCCTGTAAATAGTTTATTTTGGTATATATTTCTGCCTCTTTGTAATAAGCAAGAAAGATTTATTTATAGTTGACAGTATTATTTATAGTTGACAATTTCGCTGAGCCTGTACATTTTTCTTTTCATTTTGTACCACCCTCATTATTATAACTGTGCTGTGTTGTGTGACTGATACTGGCTGCTAAATTTCTTTCGGGATCAATAAATTATCTATCTATCCATCCATCCATCCATCCATCCATATTTATTCCTCAAACCCTTTGGAAATAACTTTCTCTTTTGTGACTGGATGTGTCCTCTTCCTCATGAAGTTTTGTGACTCCCACATCAAGGCGACTGAGCTACCATGGCAACCCACCTTGCAACCATAACACTATCCCTATCAATATTTCATAACTTTAATCTGTGTGAGATCAAAGTCAGACTCAGCATCATAATCTTCTTTTGATGACAGAATATGTTTGTGCTATGAACTCCACAGTTCAAATCAAAGCTCTCCAAACTGTGGGACTTCATTTGCATGGGTGCAACCGCATGCGACACCTTTCCTGACATTTATGGCTATTTTCAACAATTCCAGGCTGATAAAGATGTCCTACATTTTTTATCTACACTCTTAGAAATAAAGGTAGTAAACCATCACTGGGGCAGTACCCCTCTTGTCCCTGGGGTGGTTCCCTCAAGGGTACATCTCAGCACCTTTAGTCAGGGAACATAATTGCACCATAATCCTTGTATTGACTCCACACACCCCGTCTCGTCTCCAGGCTTTTTATTTTATTGTTCTGTTTTAAATCATTCGGTTATGAAAAGGTACAAATATAAACTTTTCCACTTGGAAAAAACTTATTTAAGGTAAATAATTGGACCTTAAAACCACTGTTATACCTTTGAGGGGACATTTACATTATTTGTACCTTGATGAACGAAAAATGTACCTGCATAGAACCTTTATTTCCAACAGTGTACATATCCACTGATGCCAATAAAGAATTTGTAAAATGTAGAAATTGGGACTACCTGAATTAGCAGCACACAGAAATATAACGTGTTCCTGTAGGGTTACAAATGCAATTAAATGAATAAACAGCAAACATTTCAGCACGGTAGCTCATATCACCTAAACAGTCTCCTCTTCCTAAGTACAATAAATATGCCATTAAATATTGGTTGGAGATATCGGTCAAATCTGTGTGTGTTATCAATTCTGCTATTATCAATATGATTCTGATAGTATGCATCCATAGTACTGATGGACATGACCGATGAACATTACATACACCCTGTGTTTGAGTTATGAAGCAACAGCACAAGTGAAATTATTCAGCCTAGATTGATCTTTTATGTAAAATGCATATTCATCTCTGATGATTACAAAGTTGCTGAGACCAGGAGGAAGTCAAATGTCCAGCTCGAAACACATTAATTTAATTGGCTAATACAGTCTGCACTGTCTTTTAAACAAGACGTCCAGGCCTCGGCACTACATCATGCTCAGCACTGTGGTAGCAGCATCCTGTTATGTGACAAATCATCTGACAAACATACAAACCAAGCCTACCATACTGTGTACAGAGCTAAACAATATGACTGGGTCAATCTGACTAATGCTTAACAAAATGGCATAAGCCTCCTGATCTGCTGATAAGACAAAAATGCTAGAAACAAGGCACTGTGTGCACCTGCTAGTCTGTCGGGTCGTGGTGAGACGGTCTGATGCACTGATATCTTAAAACGGAATACATCCTCGACTGATTCAGTTCATGCTGTGTGACACAAGACACCAGCTTTGACATGCGTTTGCTCATGCAGTGTAACACATGGGTAGTGAACATTCCTGACATTAGAGCGTGACCGTTGAGGCAGAGAGGCGTACACACTTAAAAAAGATGGTTCTTCAAGGGTTCTTTAGGAAAGGCAATGGTTCTATTTAGAACCATGAGATCTATAAACAGTCAGTTGAGACTTAAATGGTTATTTGCATTGCGAAACACCTCTTCAGATTGATGGATAATGTGTTGTATACGGTTCTATGTGTGGTTTTATATAGCACCAAAAAGGGTTCGGCTACTGTTACGCTGCCAAGCTTGTAAGAACAGAAGGACCCTTTTTGATGCTATGTATAAACATATCGTTGTTGTCGGAAGAAAACCTTGTATCTCCAAAACGATAACTTTATACGAGAAGGAGAAAACCTACTTTACTTTTGATGTAAGTCAATGGAACCAGACTTTTTTTCCAAGTCATTTTGGGCCGTTTCTCTTGGTCCATTCTTCACGAAATTTACACACAATGTAAAGAACAACAGGCATTTTCAGACTATGTGAAAAACTGAAAAACGACAAAAATGGAGATGCGAGGTTTTCTTCCGACAGCAGCGATACTCAACACATTCTCCAGCAATCTGAAGAACGATTTCACCATGCAAAGAACCATTTAAGCATGAAATGCTTCTATACAGAACTCATGGTCCTAAACAGAACCACTGTCTTTCCTAAGAGCCCTTAAAAAGTCTTTTTTAAGTGTGTAGGTTTGCTATACAACAAAAGCTGGCTGAAAATGTTATTATTTCATAAAAAAAAAGTTGGCTGAACTTTCACTTTTGTTTTTGGATGATCTAAACAACGCATAGGTAAGAACACAAGGAAGAAAATGAAAAGAATGAAGAAACATGAATAAAGGAAATCTCACTGGTCTCAACATGACAGCTATTACAGGTATTAAAGCCAGAACAAATACCGTAACTACGACTGTGGGGGGGAAAGCCACTTTGAGTCGTAGATGTGAAACATAGGAAATGAACCTTTCCCCTTAAATACTAACCGGACTCGTTTTTCTTTAGTCCAGCACACCGGTCGAAAGAAACACAGAGCTGCGAGCTGAATTAACGTTACACAGCCCACACACTGGTTCTCTCCATGACCCGTGTCAACAGGATTACCTAGTCACTCTTTTCACTGATATTTACTTGAGATTGAACGCAGCCTTACTGACTGTCCGGGCTTCACTGAACAGATACAGCGACAAGGTGAAAGATTTAGGGTTATTTCTTTACATGAGAGACAAGTGTGGACATCTAGGACGCTTCTCGACTCGACCGGTTGGATTTAGAGAGCTTAATCTCTATTCCGCGGCAGGGTAACGTTAACTCGCACTCAGCATCCATGTTGTTCGGCTACTAATGCTCGCTCGCCGGTCAGCACCAGTTTAGCTCGCTCGGCTAGCCGTCAGCGGTAATCCAAGCGTTAGCATACAAGCTATCGCACAGATTTGAGTCACTTCACTAACTTCCTTCACTGAGGACTGTCCTACCTTTATAGGAGGAGGCGTAAACCGTCCAAGGCTCGGCGCGGACCTCTGATTCACCGTTACTGAGACCGCGCTGAGTGGGGCAGGTGAATGTGCTCGGACGCCGGAGCTCCGCAGACCCTCAGCTCCTCAGCCGCCTGTGGAACGACTCGAGCGGTGACGTAAGAGGCGCGTGCAGCCAGCGAGAATGGGCGTGAACGAGGGAATCCATTAGGGGAATGACGTCGCCTTTCGAATGCCGTCCTATCGGAGCGCAGAATTCACCGCCTAATTTAAATATCATCAACAGTAATATTACCGTAATAAAAGTGTTATGCATTACGTGCGCTGATTTCGTCAGTTTAGTCAATTAAGCCCTCGTCGCCTGGCTGGCCACTAACTCTGGGGGGAGAGTTTTATCATGTGGAATTCAGACGAAGGGGCAAGAGATCGGGAATAGTTCGGCAGCAGAACCTGCCCAAGAAATCCCTGTGACCTGACACGTTTATTTCCCTTCGCAAACCCGAATAGAGGTGGACAAAATGCTTAATGTTTCAAAACCATAACGTTTGTTATGCTCAGATAGGTTTTAGGTAACAAACTAGTCCATCTGTTGTTCATGCAACTGATACAACCTCATTACTTTGCTAGCAAGCTAAAGGCTACACAGCTAACATAAACAAACAAACAAATAAATAAATAAATAAATGTTAGACTTACTAAACAAATGTTCTGAGTTTGCAAAGTTTGCGTAGCTATCCAGTTAGCTCACTGTGGCTAACATAAGCGGGGAACCGAAGTTGGCAAGCGCACGTTAAAAAAACCTTATTAAATCGGGGCCAGTAATAATGGGTACATACAAGCTTGTGCCAATGAGGTTGTATACAGTGAGTGAACACATGAAGTAATAAATAGGATGACTAGGGCCATTACAAGAGGTGACTGTGTAATACCATTAAGGAATAGGAATAGTGCTTTATTTGGTGAATCTACATTTTCCTTCTGTGTGTACATGAAGAGAATTCACTGCCTGCTGATTAAGATTTGACAACTATTGTTTTATTCTAAAACAATGGGTTCATGTGTTTGCATTATGTGCTCTGTAACCTGTAAGTACCTTTTAATGGTGTCTTGTGGTTTTAGCCCGTGTGAGAGGCACTGCACAGTCACTGCAGATGAACATTAGCCTTGGCTGGCACATTTAAATCATAAAATAAAGCTATTGATGAGTGTTTTTTTCTGTTAAACAAACAAATAAAGTAAGCAAATAATTCATATATGAAATCTGAAAAAAAAAGGAAATCCTATGTAATCCTAAAATGAGGGATTTAAGTGCACCAGTTGGGGTGTTAAAAAGACGCATCTGGCAACAAATCTCGGAAATCTCGTTTGTCGTGAACTATCGCGAGACTATACCTTTTGCGGCCCTGCTCGCCTGTACTACAAGCTGCTGTTAAGCAGTGACTGTTTCAGGTAAAATTTGCTCACAGTCGTTTCGTAAATAGTTTTTTTTAGTTTCTAGATGACTGTCCTCATGGCCAGTGCACGGTCAGTACGTTAGTCGTTAATATTTAGTGGGTCCGACGTGAGAAATGCGTTGTGTGTTGCTTTGCTGAGCGTTTAGGCTTCAGTGTTGTGGTTTTCGGGCAGGCCTGAATAATTAGCTCGCGTTTTGGTCATCATCCTCAGTATTCACTGAATTCAAGTCTGACCTCCAGTTCAGCTCTGTCAATGTTTTTTCTTTAAATTATAAAAGCTTTTGTTTCTTCCAGACTCTGTGCAAGACGTTTATTAATACAAAAATGAACGTAGGCAGCTTATTATGTTAATGGTAACGATGCTTCAGTTACAAAACTTTGAAATTGACCCATAAGCCAGCACTGATTCATGCTTTTATAATGGACTGTTACTGTATCCGTGATGTGACATAAGTGAAAGTGGGTAAAAAAAGTCTATATTCATATATGGATCCTTCCCAAAAGTGTGATGACCACTGTGGTAGAAGAGCTATGGCTGAAAACAGCTCAGGAGAATATGCAACTTTTGCCTGCTTATTCATTTCTTTGTTCTTCAAGACACTTCATGATGAGTTATGCTGAAAAGCCAGAGGATGTAACTCGAGAGGAGTGGATGGAGAAGCTCAACAATGTTCACATTCAACGCGCAGACATGAACCGGCTCATCATGAACTACCTGGTGACAGGTACGCAGCACTGCTTGCATTCATTTGCTCTTTATCATGGTGATCTGCTAAAGAAAAGGTGTTTTGTAGACTCAATCTGTGCATGTTTGTTTGTTTGTTTGTTTGTTTAGAGGGTTTTAAGGAAGCAGCAGAGAAATTTAGGCTGGAATCAGGCATCGAACCGAGTGTGGACTTGGACTCACTTGATGAGAGGATAAAGATCAGGGAGATGATTCTGAAAGGACAGATTCAGGAGGCCATCGCACTGATCAACAGCCTGCATCCGGAACTGTTAGACACTAATCGCTACCTTTACTTCCACCTTCAGGTAAAAAAAAAAATAATATTAATAAGAGGAAGTCTCATCTCATATATGTGAACAGGTTATGAGTGAAGTTATGGAAGCTGCACTTCAAAACTGTTTTCTGAATGAGACTGTCCTTCACTTTCACATTTTACAGCAAAAAAAATGACATCAAATCATTAACAGCAGATTCATGTAAGGTGACATGCTGTACCACGCACCAGTTTCCACATCTGAAAACATTCTCAGTCGAGATTTTTTTTATTAAATAAACATCCTCTTCTGTTCCCTTTGCAGCAGCAGCACCTGATTGAGTTGATCCGTCTGCGGGAGACGGAGGCAGCGCTGGAATTCGCGCAGACACAGCTAGCGGAGCAGGGCGAGGAGAGTCGAGAGTGCTTGACTGAGATGGAGCGCACGCTGGCGCTGCTGGCGTTCGACAACCCAGAGGAGTCGCCTTTCGGAGACCTCCTCAATATGATGCAGAGACAGAAGGTAGGTTGTTAGTTTGCATGGAGGAAACTACTGCTGTGTTTCATGGCTGCTCATGAACAGATGACAATAGCTGATAAATTTGAGGGCACATCTGTTGCAACCTTAAACAGTTCCCCTGTGATGAGTGCTGAGAAATAACATTGCGCTCTGTATATGTTGAAGGTTGTTTTGTATTTTGGTGTCCAAAATGTAGTCACCATTTTCGATGGATGTGGTCAAGGCTTGTTTGGTGACAAAAGTATGCCACATAGCAAAAAAGTAGTAGTAATAAGAGCCACCCTGAAACCTAAATTTAGTCTATATTTTTTTGCTCGTATATAGACAATAGTATGCCACACCATCAGAATCCACATAAACAAGTCTGTTTGAGATTATTTAACAGATGGATGTGGTTTGAGGCAAGTGTTAGAGGATTTAGGCAAAATTGGCCAAATTCCCCATTTTGAATGCTGAATAAGCCATTCATGTGAATTTGTTGAGTTGTTCATCTTAGAAAATGGGGGGCAGCAGCTCATGGTCATTATTCAGCCAACCCACAGATTTAGTAATTTACTTTTATAGGCTGATCAAAACTAGGATAACGTGAAAAGAGGGCTGTGTTTTGTCAGCGGTGAAGGCTTCATTTGTTCATATTCACATTTCTTTCTTCAGTAGCTTTCAGATGGTGAGTAAAAAATGGTTAATGTGTAAATTAGTATTGTTACCAATTAAGAAAGTCAGCGTTCATTTAGTTTGTGTCTAAAATTGATGTAGGACTGATTTACTGTGGATTTTAACTGCTACGAGAGCTTGGCAGCTGTCAACAAATTACATCGGAAATATCGATCATTAGATCCAAACATTATGCAATGTTGTGGAGCCAGCAGAAAACAAATTATAAGCAAGGTATATTAAGCGTGGGATCTCAAAATGAGATGTTTGCCAGATTTTGTACACACTGACACACTTTTTAAATACCTAGAAAACAGTGCAATATTTGGGCACGACTTGTATTTAAGATTAAGAGACCCTTATTACTCCCACAACAGGGAAATTTCACCTCCGCATTTAACCCATCCGTGCAGTGAAACGCCACATACACACTAGTGAACGCACACACTAGGGGCAGTGAGCACACTTGCCCAGTTATTTGCAGCACCCGGGGAGCAGTTGGGGGTTAGATGCCTTGCGCAGGGATACTTCAATCACGTACTGTCGGCTCACCTTCCAGTCACAGGGCTGGTTCCCTAACCTCCAGCCCACTTGAATTTTAATGTCATGCACAAGAAAGTTAAAATCACACATCATCTCTTAAGAACGATGCCGCTGGACCCTGCTGTAGGGGATTGGTTTCACCTCTGCTTTTATTATATTTTTTTAAATGAGTTTTCATGTCTGAGTCATGCAGCTTGCATGATGGTAATTAGTGAGATATAAGCTTCCATTCATTATCAGCCACATTAGCTTTAATTGCTCCAGTTCAAAACCAAATAAGCAAACTTTAGACACCAAACATGTCTTGGCTAATCAAACACATTTGGAGTAAGATTAACGTTTTTCACTGAACTGTCACTTTAGGAAAATGTGCTTGTTATGACTTTATATCACACTGATTCACCACTTTTTTTTCCATCAGGTATGGAGTGAGGTGAACCAAGCAGTGCTGGACTATGAGAACAGAGAGTCGACACCTAAACTGGCTAAGCTCCTGAAACTTCTGCTGTGGGCTCAGAACGAACTGGAGCAGAAGAAAGTCAAGTACCCTAAAATGACTGATCTCAGCAAGGGCACCATCGAGGACCCGAAGTGAAGAGGAACACGAGAGCAGCTCGGCGCTAGTGTTCTGTGGGAAACGATACGGACATTTTTCCCCTTTCCTCCTTTCACTATTTATACTCAGTCAGTGACTGACACTTAAATATACTTTTTTTTTTTCTGTTTAGCATAATTGTTATTGCTTATCAGAGACTTTTGCATTAAATGGGTCGTGCAAATGGGAATGTTTGAATTTTAAAAGTTATTTATGGCCAAAATAAGAACACTTTTTAATGCAGAGAAAATTTTACGATTTTGTTACCTCTATATTTGACTTGGTGAATTGCATTTTATCCATTGTGTTTTGCAGAGAATTACTTTCATGTCTATTTTCGTTGTTTGTTTTGTTCAGAAAACTACATAAAGCGCTCAAGGCTGTGGGCCAGGCTTGGATGTAGTTTAAGCCTAGCCCTGGACTTTAGGGTAATCTCTTCTTTAAACGGCACGGTTTAGCATAGGAAAACTGTCTCTTTAGGCTTTACATCTCGTTCTGAGGGTCTGCGTCCACTGGATTGTGATGCCTTGTACACATCAGAGCTTCAGCCGGACGGTGGACTGACTGGGTGGAACTGTACCTTTGCTTCCACTTTTTATTTGCAGTGCAAAAAGATTGCAAAGATAACCATTTTGTAAATGTGCTAGGGGGAGTGCAGGGGGTTGATCATATGCTCTGTAAATGTCATTTGCATTGTAATGTTTCTGTTTTCTGCTGTTGCATCTTACCGTAGTTACCCTGCTAACATTGACATACTCGATAATGTGATTTTATCGATAATGTGATTTATAGAAAATGCAGAGCTGAGTTAGTGAGTTTTTGAAGTCAGATGCTTTACAAAGGTATTAAATACTTTTTTGAAGTTCTTGTGCATCTCTTTATTTAAAGGGTCCGGAGCTGATGAGGGACAGACACTATTCCATAGAGCATCTCTGCTGATCCATCATGTAGGTTAATGAGAAATGATTAATGATGATAAAAAGGCCAAGGCTGTCTTACATAATGCTGGACTGCTGTTGCGTTTCTCACACACACAACCTCCAGACACGTGGAGAGAAACCCAAACCCAGCGATGCTCCAGCTAAACCAGCGCATACGTCGATGGCAGCAGATGCCGGGGTCATTTGTTATGGATTTACTGGGAGAGATTTAACTTCAAAATATAGTCGCCTGTCTTCCGTAGAGCGTCTGTTGTAAGGATGCTCCCATACTTAAGGGTAGCATTTCTGACTGAACCTAAATTAGCGTCTAGTTTATCAACACACGAAGGACTCGCGCTGCTTTTGCCGTCCTTAAGTCGCCTTTCTGGCTTCAAAAATGTTCGTTCAGCTCGTCTAACGTTTCGTTTGTAACGCTCTTTCAATCCACAACAACATATATAATGTGCAGAGAGCCACGTCTCGTTTATTTGGCCCGATTCTCGCATTGTTTTGGTGGAAAGAGGCTGAGTCACGTTACTTCCTGATTTAACCTAGCGGCGGTTGGAGGAACTGCGTGGCTGTGAGAAGAAGAAGTGGGGGGGGGCGAAAAAACTGACACGTGGATTATCATCACTTGAAGCAGGAAAGGCTTGAATTTCGTGTGCAGCCTTCCAGCGGCGAAACTGTTTCGTCCCGGGTCCTTTTTTTTCTCTCCTGGTCCAGGATTCAGTCAAAGCCGCATAGCCGTCCGGGAGGAGATGCTCCTGCGAGACAAGAGCTACTTTTTCGGCTTTTCGTCTTTCTGCCTGTCACGCTTCGGCGAACAAACCTCTTCTAGACTCCAGGAAGACGGTCGGAAAGCCAAGGTAGTCATTTGTCGTTGAATGGCAATTCTACAAAAACATGGGAAGAACCCCAGCGCAGACCTGGCAAGTATTAAAGACAGTCCAACAGACCATTTCGGACCGGTGGGAGCTCAGAAAAAGTGGTCAGAGTCCAGTCAGAGCTGGTCAAGGTGAGCGTGTTTGGCTGCTTTCTTTTATTTCTTCGGACAAGTTAACTTAGCCTACGTCAGCCTCGACCCCACTGTAGCCCCATTGTAGAGATTTCTCACGAAAAGCTTGTTGTTTACTGATGAATTCAGTCAGACCTGTAAGTCTAACATATTCGAGACCAACGGTGAGAGGGAGCTGGGTAATGTTTAACTTAATAGAGGAGTCATGTTTGACTCCCCACTGTGTGGTTAAATGTTACCATCGTAAATAAAGATGCTGGCCTGTATGCTCTCTGGGTCTTATCTTCTCCTCACCCTCTATTTTCATCACTATATGTCATGCTGAGAGAGAATGTTGATACTAAACCCCAACTTTCAGATGATTTGTAACTCTGTACATGGATAATTTAACAAGGACCATTTTTCAGCCTGCTGGCCAACACAGCTTCTTAACTATCTCTCTAAGTTTCTGCTACTTTTATCCTACTCATCAACTGCCAGCCCTTCAAGTAAATCTGCTAAAGTCATTTAACTGCGTCAGATGTGTGTTAGGTGATCAGTCTTAGTCGCACTTTTTTGTCCCAAGGTTTAAACCACACTCTGACCAAGTATAGACTAGATTTCCAGCTTACTGAACATTGCCAATGCCAGTGCCAATGCCACAGTGACTGGGTTAACTGATATAAGAAACTTTTAATCTGTACTGGATTTTCTGATTTTGTGAGCGGCCGTTCACATGAGCTTCAGACGAAGAATGCACAAAGCAAAAAACTCAACCCCTTTGGCTCAGGGTCACCAGGGAAATGGTTTCTGGCATGTAGGCGGAGGGTTTGACCAACTATAATTGTCGTTCCTTCTTGCATGACGCAATTTCTATGTCATAGTTTTACAAACAACCTCTTCAGTGATTGCTGTCACAACACTCTAGTGGAGGTAACGGGTAGCTTATATCTAGTCCCATCCAGTCCCCTAACATGTAAGCTCATATTAGGTGTATGTACTCGCAATGGTGTCCACAGGTCTAAGTCTCTCTCCTTGTTCATCTACAGGCCAGTAGCGCGGGTATGGACGGTGGTGCTGCTACTGGGCACGTGCCTGCTGTACTGCGCCCGCGTGGCCATGCCTATCTGCGCGGTAAGCATGGCGGAGCGCTTCGGCTGGTCGAAGAGGGAGTCGGGCATGGTGCTGGGCAGCTTCTTCTGGGGCTACTGCTTCACTCAGGTCCTTGGAGGCTACGTCAGTGACAGGTCAGCGCAGCGGCGGTCAGACAGACCCGTGGGGTGGTGGTGTTACTCGCAGTGGTAAATTAAAAGGGAGTGCCTGACGTTTTTCATCCGTCTAGTCTTTGGGCAAAGGCTGGACCCAATTCTCCTGTAATCACAATGTCTGAATTGGAATGAGTTGTAATCTGGGGTGGCAATTGTAACTGACAGCAAGTCACTACTGGCACCTACATAGGTTTATGAGATTCATTTTGGTATAGACAGGACAGGGCATGAACAAAGGGTGTGGCTCCCCTTTCTGAGAAAGTTCAAGATATACAGTTGATATCATGTAATGCTTTGCATATTTAACTAGTGAACAGGATGTGGGCTGGTGACAGGTGGCATGAGTTTGGTTCAGTATAGGCAGGTTTGCTATGTTCTAACTTTTTCCAAAGAAAAACAAGTTGAACTAGTCTAAGGAGCTGAATTAGAGTTTCTGGAATAAATGAAGTGCTTGTGCAGCCTTGACAAAGTTTGGTAGGCCAGCTGAGTTTTTCTGTTGTTGCTGATTTGTTGTTTTTCTCCACTGAAAGAGAGTTTTGGATTTGACCCGTGGTTGAAGAGAAAGGAGAGAAATCAAATAAATAGGTGAAGTATATAACATTGGCTTAGTGCCTGCCAGCTGGTCAGCTGTCTGCACAAGAGAGCGAGACAGTCTGATTGGCTGATTATTTATCAAGACCTTCCCAAGGCTGTGTAAACAAAGATGAGCTTCAGCTGCTTTAGGCAAATACATCCGAACTTATCGCTCCGTTTATCCTGGTTCACAGTGAATCCTTCTAAAGACATGTTAATCAGTTTAGCCTTTACATGTTTGCACTAGAAACGTACAACACGTTAGGAAGTAACCAATCCAGCTTTCCTGATGCTGATTCCAGTATCTTAACGTACAAAGGGTACCAGCTGATACCAGGTACTGATCTGATGAGTTGTCAGCTAATGCCCTCATGTTTTGTGCCAGCAAAGTACATGAGTACGTAAACCCAGATATAGCAGAGATGGTGATACACTAGATTGTCTTCTTTAGGACTATGCAGTTTTTTTTAATGGTATTGTTTTAGAACGTTTATAATAACAATCATGGAATTTTAGCTGATGATTAATTGCCATATAAATATCTGTGATTTACACTTTAATTGCCTTTTTGGTTCATTGTATGTAAAGCCTAAAGTAACCATATTAACTGTTTAGCTACAGTTGTCTGCCTAGGTTTGGGTGCCAAAATGACAAGTTTTGTTGATTTTTCTAAGTGGCAAATAAGTTGAAATATCCTACACAGAGAACACATATTCTAATGCACAGTTATTGCTTATTTCTTATTTATTGTTTATTTTACATAATGGAGGGAAAAAAAAACAGAAAATGTGGCCTGAGCATATTTTGTTTTATGTATTATTTTTTTCTGATATGTTAAACTCAGCAAGTAAATAGAATGGAAAAAAAAATAAAATTAGCTGAAAAATTCCTTATGTAGGTTTGTTCCCTGTTAAAGATGTGTTAACGTATTTTCACTTAGAAAATTAACAAAGCCTTTCATTTGACTGGAGACGTTTAAACTTTTGCATATAACTATATCTTACTTGCTAGCTGTTGAAATATAGTAGCTCCACCTAACAGCAAAAATGGCTTGAGCTCAAAAACAACCATTACACAGCTCCTCACTCTAAAAGTGTTATAGCACCAGCCAGTAATGAGAGCTTTATTATTATTATTTTTTTTTAAAGACCCATGAACCAGTCTCAATAAATGCTATTTCTGCTTGCCCTTATTTACATGCGTGAACATGAACATGACAGTGTTCCCAGCAGACAGTCTGTTTGTGACATATGACTGTGAAAGCTGGCAACTGTGGAAAATAATTGCGACCAGCTGAAATAACTGTGCTCAAGCCATTATGTAATAATTGTGACAGGCTATGATTGTAAATAAAATTGCACAATTTCATTTTTGTAACAACCATGACTAAAAAAATCAGTGTTAAATGTGAATCTGTCACGTCTGACCATTGAAATCTGTTTAATAAGGTTATTATCTTCTTCCGGTTAGTGCTATATCGGTAACACTTAGAGTCTACCATTCATTCTCTACCTAAATATAAATCTCAGAGGCCCTTACAGTCTTCTGGGTGAACTGTCTTGATGGTTTGTGTTGTTTATGTTCAGGGTTGGAGGAGAAAAAGTGATGTTGCTGTCAGCCGCAGCGTGGGGAGCAATGACTGCGTTCACGCCAATCCTGGCTCATTTCTGCTCTCAGCCTATCGTCTCCATGACCATCTCCCGTTTTCTCATGGGCCTCCTTCAGGGTGAGTGGATTTGATGAGGGTCAGAAGTCTGTGAGTCTCTCAGCATGCCACCCCACTGCACAGCTGACATCTGGTATACTGTTAATGGAGTTTTTATTCTTCAGCAAAGTTACAACTTTTTAATGCATCAGTGCCATTGAGGCGCAGTTTCCTTGAGGAGTACCCAGAGGAATAACGCTAGCAGTCATGAAATAATATATTTTTTAGCAGAAGCAGAAACAGAAAATCCTCTTTGTGGGAAAACAATACAGTCTTATCCAATAAGTTGTTCAAGTGTTCCGAATTATTTGAAGGTCTGTGTTGTTGCAGCAAAGCTGCTTCTTATCGAGAAAGACTGTTTCCAGATTGTGAACAAATAGCTGAAAACTCCCCTGCAAATGACAAATCGTTTTCTCTCTTTGAGGAGGCTGTTTGTGGAGGGCTAACGAGTGACATTGTTGTGACATTGCTCTTTTTCTCTGGAGAGTTGGTTTTGCTGTGGAAGTCCAGTCTTTCTAATGCTCTGTGGTTGCTTGCTAATGATATAATGGGACGTTGGCCCAGTTGCAAGTGCCATATGCCTCTTCTTTTTTAGGTTGTTTTTCATGAAGCATCTCTGTGCTTTGAAAGCATTTGCAGCTACGTTCTGTAAATTGGCTCATATCTGATAGATGTTTGTTGTCAGGAAGTGACTATACCATCTGGGCTAGTCTTTTTAGTCCAGCTGCTAATGTAGACTCCTGGATCACTGGTTTGTTTTTTTTTTCTTACCATTTTTATCTTTTCTTCAGGTGTGCATTACCCATCTCTGGCCAGCCTGTGCTCTCAGAAAGTGGTGGAAAGTGAGCGGGGCTTCCTTATGAGTACTGTAGGGAGTGGCTCATATCTGGGGTAAGTGGTTCATCCTGGGCAAATTCAGGATTAAGAAAAGGGGTCCTTAGGAAATGCAGTGAGTCCCTTAAAGCAATAGCTTGGCTTAAAATCAAATGTACTCAATTTTTGCCACACCCCAAATTAACAGTGGTATTGAAAATTTTTCATCAGGTACAGGTTTTTGTCAGAACCGTTATACTGATATGCCATAAATAAGCGCAGATAACATGACATACAAACAGTGCAAACCATGCTAATGTTATCCTGTTTAGCTGGTGCCTGGGACAGGAGTGTTTCAGTTACCTTTCAAATGAAAAACTTAGTAGAGTCCCAATCATCTCCTGCTGTTAAGTTCATTGCATCTGAAGTAGTCTGCTTTGTTTTTGAGGTTGGAAACAAAGCAATTGCCAGTCTCTTGGGGTTTGATTTAGCCTTAGCCTCCTAAGGACACCACACCAGTGAGGCCTGGCTGAGAAGCCACAGGATTCTGTCACCCGCATCAGACAGCGGAGCCGCCTGCCAGGCTTGTTCTCACAATAAGCCGTAGACTAGCTGGTACTGACAGCATGATTGACTGTAATGTTTTCCAAATTCCAGCAGTGTCTGACAGCTGGATATAAGGGACTCGCATATGAGACAAATGACTTTGAATTTGATGAAGCTAAAATTGGCTTCTTATTCAAATTCCTGTTTGTGTTACACCGATCAGGCATAGCATTATGACCATTATGTCCTTGTTTCTACGCTCATTGTCCATTTTATCAGCTCCACTTACTATATAGGTGCACTTTGTAGTTCTACAGTTACAGACTGTAGTCCATCTGTTTCTCTGCATACTTTGTTAGCCCCCTTTTACCCTGTGTCCACTCACTGTCCACTCTATTAGACACTCCTACCTTGTCAGTCCACCTTGTAGATGGAAAGTCAGAGACGATAGCTCATCTGCTGCTGCATAGTTTGTGTTGGTCATCCTCTAGTCCTTCATCGGTGGTCACAGGACGCTGCCCACAGAACGGTGTTGGCTGGATATTTTTGGTTGGTGGACTATTCTCAGTCCAGCAGTGACACTGAGGTGTTTAAAAACTCCAGCAGCACTGCTGTGTCTGATCCACTCAGACCAGCGCAACACACACTATCACACCACCACCACGTCAGTGTTACTGCAGTGCTGAGAATGATCCACCACTCAAATAGTACCAGCTCTGTGAGGGTCCATGGGGGTCCTGACCACTGAGGAACAGGGTAAAAGGGGGCTAACAAAGTATGCAGAGAAACAGATGGACTACAGTCTGTAATTGTAGAACTACAAAGTGCACCTATATAGTAAGTAAAGCTGATAAAATGGACAATGAGCGTAGAAACAAGGAGGTGGTCATAATGTTATGCCTGATTGGTGTATTATACTGTAATGGAAAGAGACTTTACTGCCATACTGTCCAATGTTACCCCAAAAAACAAGTACTGAAAACTTCTACTTCACCAAGTTGTACACACCTATTTGTGTGGTTTCTGAGGTTGCATCACATACTGTTATATATCATACTGGCTATTTTCAATGATAAGACTATGTCATACGCTGTTAAACACAGTGTTAATGTGAGGGCTATAATCTTCCACTAGTTGTTAGCTACATTACATTTACTACTCTATTTTGATACTTGAGAAGCAAAATTCAGACACCAAACATGTCTTAGCTTATTGGCCACCTTTGGGTTAAGTGGAAAACTGCGATTTAATTTTTCACGTAACTGTTCCTTTAACTGAACGTCTGTGTCCATCTATGTGCAGGACGCTGGTGATAGGAGGAGTGGGTTCGCTCATGTTGGACATGTATGGCTGGGAGAGTGTGTTCTACGTCTCTGGTCTCCTGTCTGTGCTCTGGGCCTACTGCATGTGGAAGTACCTGCTCAAGGGAGAAGGTGAGTTAATGCCTGGTTCACCATCAGCTGTAGAGCTGTGAGTATGTTTTCCACACCGCAGCTCAAAAAGTCGCAGCTCAAAGCTCAGCGTAAGCCGAAAGAGTGAAGCTTTGAACACACTCTCTGATGCAGGGGCTGGGATTTTTATCTTCAGAAGTCTTCGGAATTCTTAATAATTAATCACCGTAGCTCTTGTTTTTCTAAAGTACCTCTTCAGAAGTCTCTCCTTCATCTTGCCGACTGACAAATTACAGAATAAACAGAAAGCAAGTTGATGATTACGTTTGTGGTAATTAGGCTTGTGCATTATTTATGCCGCTTTTCTACTCCTTTTCCTCGAATATGTCAAACTAGTCCTAGTCCTGCCACAGTGCTGTCCAAACACACCTGAGTCAAAATTTCAGCAGTGAGAATAGTTTATTTGCTAACTGCTTAACTGCTTTGTTCTGTCGTGGGTGAATGGCTAGACTCGTCTTGCCACTATCTAGTAAAAGGCACACATCGCCACCTAGTGTACTGAAGTAGGAATTATTCAATGATCAAGCCTTAGCTGCCAATACGAAGTTAGAGGACATAACAATATAATTAATCAAAAATACATCAAAGGAAAAACAAACATCAGAAACATCCTTCTGTACCACTTTCTATTCCCCTTCATAACCATATTTGTTATTTACAGTGTGATTCCTCTGAGTGGGGTGCAATTCAGCAGTGTGCACCATGATTGGCTTATGTGTTATTCTCTGAGCTGTGCTGCAAATGTTGTCTATTTGATAATTACAGCAAAAATCATGAGTTTATCTAAATTGAATACCTCAAGCTTGTCATTGGGTACGTTTATTTTTGCCAATCCAATTGAATACATTCCGATTACAGATTAAGACTGAGGTGTTTATGCTCACTCTACTCAAAAATCTGATGAAAATCTCTGTTTACATGCGCACTACAAGTAATCCGATCCAAAATTACACGCATGCATAGAGAACCACTTAGTGTAGACGTTACCATGACAGCGAGCATCACATGAGTCCAGTCAGAGTGAGACGAGCAGCAAAAAGCAGCGCTTGTGTTTTTAATGGCTTTAAAATCATATCAGACTCAGAAAAATATGCTTCACATGTTTTTATTAATGCCGAGAGGAAGATGTCGTGATCTGAGACACATAAGCTGGACGTCCGTCCCACCGCCGTCTTTTAAGTCAAGTCAAGTCAAGTCAGCTTTATTGTCAATACTACAATATGTACAGGACATACAGAGTATTGAAATTGCGTTACTCTCAGACCCCATGGTGTAGCAATAACATTAAATAGAAAGTAAACAGGAAAAGTGTGAATTTAAATAGACACTAAATAAACACTAAACACTAATCGTAAAAATAAGCACAAATTTAAATATATATATATATATATATATATATATAAAATAAAATTTGAATAATAAATATATATGTATATATATAAATCAAATATAGATCAAAGCATAAACTTCGTCTCCTCTGCAGACCAGTTTCTGCTCCCACCATGTTGAACATTTATAAACTTTCGCTATGACGTGACGCACATGCGCAGAATGTACTTAAACTTTCCGATTGGAAATCTAATTGGATACAGGCGGTTATAGGGCTATTATTCTTCTATTTAACAGATTATTAGCAGGATTACCCACCTCGTTCAATCGGATAGAAACTGTATTCCGAATGGCCGCAATCGGACTAGTCTATTCTGACTGAAGTGTATACATGGACGTGTTCCATTGTGAATGAGCTATTAGTCGGATTATTAATGGATTATTAGGCTGCATGTAAACGTGGCTAGTGTTATCAAGGAGCACTTTACTGGTATACAAATCAAGATTGTTGTATCGTCCAGAACTACTTGATTGAAACAAATGTGTTAACATGGGGACAGATTGTAAACTTTGATGTGGCTCTCCAGGGATTGAGTTTGGCTCTCTGCCCTACACCTGTAAGATGATCTTAATGCTGTGATTTCGGATTCTGGACCGTGATCACTAATGCTGTTTAGGTAACACTGAGTATAATGATTGTTTTGTTAGCTTGTAGTTATTATAATAGTTATTGTGATATGTAACCATATGTACATTAATGGCGGCAAACAACTAAATTATTTTTCCTAGTGTTACTTTGTTAGTAGTAGCAGTAGTAGTAGTAGCAGTAGTAGTAGTAAAGTTTATTTATATAGCTCTTTTTACAACAGTTGTTGTCACAAAGCAGCTTTACAAGGAAAGTGCATGTTCTCATGGAGGCCGTGAGTCTCTAAATACTGAAGTATACAGTATACAAATGTGTTGATAATGCTTACAAGGCCAGTGTACTGTAAACACTTGTGGGTGCATAGATGACCTTGTGTGTATATTTTTGGTACTTGGGTATCTGTTCTGGGTCTGATTCAGTGAGATGGTAATTTGGAGAGTTATACAGTTAGTGAAAAAACATGCTTGCGTACGTGAACCCCAGCGCAGCACATCGAGCATATTATTTGAGGAATGAATTAATTGTTGCTGAGGTGCATTGGTGAATGACGATTCCGTAAAGGAGATTGTGATCAGAATCTGGGAACACTCTAGACAGCGCCTTTTCCTTTAGCATTTCCACTTGGCAAACTTAAACCCTTTAAGCTGGATTAGTTTTACCTGGGGAAGTACTGTAACGTAAGTGCTTAGCAAGAAGATCCAGTAATCTGCAATATCTGTCGTTTTTACAAGTCTGGTGTTGCACTGAATGTGGCATCTGTCATGTAATGCTGATGTGTACATCTGGGCTTTTTAACGTTTCAGTCAGGGCTATTTGTGGTCATTTGGGGGGAATTATAGAAAAAGAAAATAAATAAAATCCCTTTGTAAAACTAATCTAGCAGTTATAATAGTTTAGTTTAGGGTAGGGATGTCAATGATTAACTGATTAATTGATTAACTGGTTAAAAATGTATTTAATTTGACTTAATTTCCAATAAACAACATTTCCTATTTTATTAGGTATTTGTCAAGTTCTAGTTCTGCTAGATAGGCCTACTAAAAAATGAAGCATGCTGCCAAAAAATATTTCGGGAGGATGATGGCACTACGACAGTGTACCGTATTGAAAGCAAACATCCTCAAGCGATAAGACAGACTGAAAGAAAGTGTGATGCATGCTGGTTTGAGGACGTTACACATAGATATGCAGCATTATTGAAAAGAGATGATGGACAGTGATGGCTTTTGAGACTCACAGAGGTACACTGAGCCAAAGCTAGCCCGATCATGCTTATGCCTGGCCTCATCTATCAGTACTATTTCAGTAGTCGACAGTGCATTAATACAGAAATCAGCTGATGTGTGTGCTCATAAATGTGTATAGCAAGTAATTTAGAACACCTGTGAACATACCAGACAAATAGATATCAAAACCGCAACTGTTTAGTTTGTAATTGATATTTTGATGGTTTGCATCCTTGTTTTTTGGCTTTTTGGCCAATGACTAATTGCGGACCAATGATAACCAGTTATTTGTTAAAAGACCAAAAATGGCCTGATTTAGGATTAACTGTGTGTGTGTGTGTGTGTGTGTGTGTGTGTGTGTGTGTGTTTTTAGGGCCCATCATCACTCTGGAGTCTCTGGGCAGTGCTGGAACCCAGTCCAAAATGTCCCGCAGAAACTGGATGCGCCTCCTTAGACAACCAGCTGTGTGGTGAGATAAGAACCTGAACAATGATTGTGTGAGAGAGAGAGAGAGAAAAAGAGAGAGAGAGAACATCTGTCAGTGTGATTCAGCACACAACAGCTATGATCCTGCAAGAAGGAGCTAAAAATCCTCAATTGCCAACATTTATATTGTGTGTGTGTGTGTGTGTGTGTGTGTGTGTGTGTGTGTGTGTGTGTGTGTGTGTGAGAAAGAGAGAGAAAGATCTTTAGTTCAGGCAGCTGCTGAGTGTGGAGGCTCGGTATAAAAGTGCCTGTGTTGCTTCAAAGGCTTTAGTCACTTCCTCCCAGAGTTTATTTACAGATCTCTTTTGCTCTTTAGTAAAAAAGAAGTGTTAGCCACATTACTTTTTCTCATATGTTCACAGTATAAACACTGTGCATGTTTGTGTGTTTCTATCCACCAATCAGCCACTTCATTAGGTACATCTCTTTGTTTCTACGCTCATTGTCTGTTAATCAGTTCCGCTTACCACATAGGAGCACTTTGTAGTTCTGCATAATTGGTTAGCCCGCTTGTACCCTGTTCTTCAATGGTCATGATCCCCACAGGACCACTACAGAGCAGGTATTATTTATTCTCTGCACTGTAGTGACACTGACTGTATGTTGTGCTGGTACAAGTAGATCAGACACAGCAGTGCTGCTGAAGTTTTTAAACACTGTCCACTCACTGTCCACTCTATTAGACACTCCTGCCTTGTTGGTCCACCTTGTAGATGGAAAGCTCATCTGCTGCTGCACAGTTTGTGTTGGTCATCCTCTACACCTTCATCAGTGGTCACAGGACGCTGCCCACAGGACGCTGTTGGCTGGATATTTTTGGTTGGTGGACTATTCTCAGTCCAGCAGTGACACTGAGGTGTTTAAAACCTCCAGCAGCACTGCTGTGTCTGATCCACTCAGACCAGCGCAACACACACCAACGCACCAACACACCACCACCACGTCAGTGTCACTGCAGTGCTGAGAATGATCAACCACTCAAATAATCCCTGCTCTGTGGTGGTCCTGTAGGGGTCCTGACCACTGAAGAACAGGGTAAATGTATGCAGAAAAACTGATGGACTACAGTCTGTAATTGTAACTACAAAGTGCATCTGTATGGTAATTGGACCTCATAAATTGGACAAATGGTGTAGATGCAAGGTTGATGTATTTTAATAAAGGGGTCAGTCATTGTCTGTATACGTGAGGGGCAATTACTGAACATACTTGCTCCACTGCTCATTTCTAAAGTGATTTATAGATTACACTGGGATTCTTAATCTATCTCTCTCTCTCTCTCCCTCCATTGTCTATCCATCAGTGCGGTCATTATTACACACCTGTGCACTGCAAGCACCTTCTTCACCCTGTTGTCATGGCTACCAACGTTCTTCAAGGACACCTTCCCTGATTCCAAGGTAAACTGTGGGTAAACCGTGATGCCCTGAGGGGAGAAAACATGACGTGTTGTAATAGTAGTAGAGAACCTTCTTTGTTCTGTAGACAATGCTGTACGTTTCTTCCCTTCAGGGATGATTCACCACTGCTCTGTCCAATACGATCCAGATATTTAGGCTCTCTGAAAACAGATCCTAAAAGGGTAGTTAAAATCAAGTTAAGAGCTGCTAAGAGATAATACAGCCATTTTTGTCCCAGTGAACTCTCTGCTATTACTCATACTCCTGGCTCACGTTTCCAGACATTGTTCTTCAGGAATCCTGACTGCGTTGATGGCTAGTTCATCAAAAAATCACAATTCTACCCAAAAACAGGGTCTTTCAGAGTCCATATTGTATTAAAATCATTATTTTTCAGTCAGAAATGTTCTCTTGGTGGTGAGGACATAAACCTTAAACTGTAAAACCGGTGAACTATCACTCTTGCAAAAGCAGAGACAGAGGGTCACATATCAGAAGTGCAGTTTTAATCAGGTGCCAGCAGGGGGACCCATCACATCAGTGCTAGTGGATTAGGCATTTTACTTACATTACCAGAGTGTTCTGAAGCTAATTTGACATTTTTTTTTTATTTTCCCTTAGATCCACTTATAAGGTCTGTGATTTTATCTACCAAAACAGTTCATCTCTTTTATCTCTTAGACTACAAACAGTTAAACAGACTGTTCCTATTACTCTGCCTGTAAGACTAATGCATGTAAATGATCCTTATTACTTTAATCTGAATAGTTAGGCTAAACTGCTGTGATCATATGTAAATGTGTTAATGGGTGTAGCCACACAAACATTATGAGATCAAAATTGACTGTTTTTAATTTAGCATCCATAAATGGGCTCAGTGGACTGGACTGGGGAGAGAATATTACATTCAGAATTTTTAACAGTGTTTACACAGCATTTGTACTTCCTTTTATTCCAAAAGTGCAAGAAATATAGTTTTCCATTATATAGGCCTTCTGAAGTGCGTGTGTATGTGTGTTAGGGATGATAAGCTTTTTTTGTTGAAAAAATGTAAATCATGACAAAAAATGTTAAATTCCGATGAAAACCACAGGTATTTTACATTTCACAGTAGCATTCAGTATGTCTAGAACAGTTTGCAGCAGAGGGCAAGAAAAACTTTTCAGAACGAGTTTACAGACAAGGAAAAAAAGTCTAACCGAAAAGCAAGTTTTAAAACTGCGCACATTAACATTAATACAAAGTGTTTGGAATGAATTTGTGTTAAGTGCATTTTTGGCAGAATATGCTGTTAGGTAGGTGTTTAAGTCACACTGGCTCACACTGTTCTTACTTGACAAATCCATGTCCTCTTCGTCGTCTTCATGCAGTTGGTTAATCAAATCTTGCAATTTTCAGCGCATTAAAAACGCATCCACCTTTTCCTATGTAGAAACAACATGAAGCATAAAAAGACCTCATGACCACTTACCATTAAACTAAAAATAAGCAGGAATAATGCTGTTCCTAATGCTGTTTTCCCCGTGAAGCAGTGTGCCAGTGTAACACTCACTCACAGGACAGTCCACTGCTGTGTGTGTAAATGAAGTAAAACCTGGACAGTTTCAGCTCACAGAGTGCTAAGCTTGAGCCTCTAGCTTTCATCTACCACAATTGTCAATCAACTTAAATATCTGAAAGGCTGTGATTGGATGATTGTACATTAGACATGATATCACAAACCTACAGACTGCTCATGCAGACGAAATGAAAAGATTAAGGTAGTGAGTTTATTTAAATTCTTTGAGCGGTAGAAGACGTAAAAATCTCTGTAGTTGAGCGGCTGAGAAGCGATAGAATACATTTTTCCCTGTTGTTACTCACACTGGCTGTGTTTTACATGCAAAGATTTTTGCCAGTCCGATTGAATACATCCCGATTACAGATTTAGAATGAGGTGTTTATTCTCACTCTACTCAACAATCTGATGGAAAAGCTCTGTTAACATGCTCACTACAAGTAATCAGATCCAAAATGACACGCATGCGTAGAGCACCACTTAGTGTAGATGTTACCATGACAGCGAGCATCACGTGAGTCCAGTCAGAGTGAGATGAGCAGCAGTGCTTGTGTTTTTAATTCCTTTAAAATGATGTCAGACTCAGGAAAACGTCCTTCACATGTCCTTATTAAAGAAGGCCGAGAGGAAGACGTCGTGTTCTGAGACACATAAGCTGGACGTCCGTCTCACCGCCGTGTTTTAAAGATCAGAGCATAAACTTCGTCTCCTCTGCAGACCAGTTTCTGCTCCCGCCATGTTGAACGTTATAAACTTTCGCTATGACACGACGCACATGTGCAGAACACACGCAAAAATTTCCGATCGGGAATGTCATCAGATACAGGTGTTTACATGATTATTATTCTTCTATTTAACGGATTATTAGCAGGATTACCCACCTCGTTCAATCGGATAGAAATTGTGTTCTGATGGGCCTCAATCGGACTAGTCTACTCCGATTTAGGTGTATACATGGACGTATTCTATTCCGAGCAATAAGTCAGATTAACGGGTTAGGCTGCATGTAAACATGGCTACTGCTAGCAGTATTGAGTTTGATAAATTGATAAGTGCTCCCAGCTCTAGTGAGGCTGCACTGGGTTTATATGGCTCAGGATCCAGCAGAAGCTGAGCCTGTACACCTCAGCTTATTTTCACCCTTGATGTAACACAGTTACAGTATTAATGAATCTTTTTAAAATCTTCTCTGTGCTGTTGGTCCTCCATGTCCACTGTTTCATCTCTATTGTAAGACCTGTGTGTGTTTGTGTGTCTAGGGTTGGGTGTTTAACGTGATCCCGTGGTTTGTGGCTATTCCCTCCTCACTGTTCAGCGGCTGCCTGTCCGATCATCTCATCAGTCAGGGTATGAGACCACACACACACACACACACACACACACACACACACACACACACACACACACACAGTGCCATGTGTCAGTTCATCTGGAGCAGAAGATCAACACACTTTGTTTGTGTCATTCCTTCTGTGCTGTGTCAGTGTTGTGGCTTGTAATTAGCATTAAATATGTGGCCCACATTGTTCAGCTGACTGTGGGCCTTTTCCACTAATGCTAAGAGTCTGATTGATTTTTACTGTGCTGTAAATGCTGTGAATTTTACAGTCTCATAAAGGCGTTAAATACGCTTCTCACAGTCCATTGACGTATCCTTTCTCTCTCTGTCATCTCTCTCTGTTTGTTGTAGGTTTCGATACTGCTGTAGTGAGAAAACTAATGCAGGTAGGCCTTGCACACTGTCTCGTATACACTTGGTACTGTATAAAATAGTAAAGAGATACTATTTTTTATTTGATTTCTCTTTCTCTCTTTCTCTCAGTTCTTTTCTATGGGTGTATCCAGTGTGTTTACTCTGTTTCTATGTGGAACCACCACTTTCACGATGGCGGTTGCCTTCGTCTCTGCTACTATGGGCCTCACCACCTTTAGCCATAGGTAAGGTTGCTCTTTTGTTTACACTATTAGCAACTCTTATATGCATGTACTTTAAAAATATTAAGGATTTTAGTTCACATGGAAACATAACTTTTGTCTCTGCAGTGGAGTATCGGTGAATGTTCAGGATCTTGCGCCATCCTGTGCTGGGGCCCTGTTTGGTGTGTAGTATTCTCCTGCTTTCTCACACTCGGAGCCAGAAAACCTATACTGACAGTTGAAAAGTACAAACATAGGGTGTTGTAATAATGCTGTTATGTTTGTGTCTTGTAGGTGTGATGAACACCTGTGGTGCATTTACAGGTAAAAACAGACCTAATGGTTATGGGTGGGCAATACAGTTGGATGTCACAATATACTTTTTTGTAGTGAAGCAACAAAATTAAACAATATGGTCAAAACTGACGACGAAATTTAAGATGCAGGGGGGCCAAAAACTGAAATTAAAACCCAAAAAAAGAAATTCCGATAGTAAATAAAAACAGTTAAGATAAAATAAACTTACTAAAATGATTACATTATGTAGGTCATAGTATGTGCTAATAAATCCAAAATTCTTGACAACTGAGAATGATTGGTCATCCAAAGCAATGAATTCCATTGATTTTTGTTATACTTTGCACCTCAGCGCTGACATTTGTCACTTTTGTTGTCATTTCAAAAACTTTGGCTATACATAGCATTGGTGTGCTAGTGGGGACCTCGGTTTTTGCTTCTGTTATTTTGCTGTATTATGTATGTTCTCAAATGATAACAGACCTGTAACGGAAAAGTCCTTGAGTGTGGTACCCCCCTCTTAGTGTTCAGCATAACCAGTGATTAAAAATCGCTTGTCTCAGCCTTAATTTTCACTGTTCTGCTGCTGCTCATGTCATTTGAATGCATCTTTTTTCTCATTCTATTGCCATTAAAACCATTTCTCATTAACATTACCACTGTAAGGTCTTAGATTTTAAAACTTTAGTGTAGACATGTTTAATTTTCATATTGTGACATTCAAAAATTTAAGCTTTTTTTTGTTTTCCGACTGAAAGCTGAAAATGCCACTTTTGGCGATTTTCAGTCAAACATTTAAAAAATGTCAGTAATTTAAAAAATGTCAGTGCATTCCTGCTTTTGTATGTTTATTCTAGAACACAGAACAACTCTGTGCATCATGAGAAAACAGCCCGTAAACAACAAGTTTATAATAATGGCATAATCTGCACAGCAACAAGTAGCCCTTATCTAATTTTACTTTTATTTTTATAATTTTTTTATATTTATAATATATTATTTTATAAATAAAACAATTTATTTTTATAAATTCTTTCAATTTTTTTAATGCTGGTGCATTTTGCCTGTTTCAGCTTGTTTGCAAACCTCAGAAAAATGAAATTGTGATACATATATCAAAGTATAACAGTCTCAAATAATGTTATATTTTTGCCATGTTCTGTACTCTGTCACTCTCAAATTTAATTAAATTACGTTGTTTTTTTCTAAGACAAATTCAAGATCTACAAAGAAGTAGACCTAGATGTTATAAATAACTCATGTTGACACAAACATTGTATTATGGAATGTGGACCAGCTTTGTTCTTTAAGTGTGTGTGTATTTTATTCATGCACAGTGGCCCCAAACAGTATTTGGACAATTTTGCCATATTTAAAAAAAGTTTATTATGGTAGGAAAACCTCAAACATATTGGCATTTATTTTAAACAGACCATTCCAAGTTCTTTCCAAAGGCAGCTGATAAGTTTCAGATTGTTTTCCTGCTGATTGATACACCCCTGTTATTTGAGCAGTTTCTCTGCAGACTTCTGCAAGTTTTCATCCTTTGTACCCTTCAGAGTAAGAAATACAGCCCCAGACTTTGAAGTTTCCACCACTTTGATTTTACAGTATCCTTTACAGTACCAGTGCAGTATGATTGGAATTCTTCTCAAGGCTTTCTTCACACAAAGAGTCTACCATCAGTTTGATGTTGAGTTTTTTTTTTTTTCTCTGAAAAAAATATAATTTGGTAAACATTTTAAGAAGAACTTCAACTTTCCTAATACTTTTTTGGAGCCACTGTATGTGTCAGTGTTGTGTATGTAATATGTGCTGTAATTGGTGATATATATTGTGTGCGCTCTGTAGGAGTCATCATGGTGTATTTCTCGGGCTACCTGATCGAGGCCACTGGTTCCTGGGCGTCCGTTTTTGCCCTCATCACTGTGGTGAACCTGCTGGGGTTGGGAACGTTCCTGACTTTCGCCGAGGCGCGCAGGGTGGACATCGACGTCACAAAGGGGCGCTATCACAACATCCACATCTGAACTTCGAGCGAACAGGAGTAGAAGTACAACAAAACTTATTGATGAACATGTTCCACAGATGAGAACACTACGGATCTTTGATAACATCTGTGGAAGTGAGAGAAATGCGTACGCCTGTACTTCCAATCGGTTGCCAAGGTGACAAGGTTTCCACCGGGTCTGGCAACATTGGCCTCAGAGATTTGCCACTGGGTTCAGAACCCACCAGTATTAACTCTTCATGTTCTACCACCACGTTGAGTGGTTTGCAGTTGAAATGGGACCAGTTAGAGAACGTGTTAAGATTGTTGGCTGTAGTCATACATTATAGTCCAGCAGTGGGCCAAACCTTTAGCTGTATAACGTCTGTACTTCATGTAAGGATGCCCGGTCTGAATGTAATGATTTCCTTCATTACATTCACAGAGTTTGTCGTTGAACATGGTCTTCATCATTATTATCATCATCACTGTCTAAGCCAGTGGTCTCCTTAGCCTTATCCTGGAGGTATCCTGAGGTCTCCTAAGCCTTATCCTGGTGGTCTGCATTCCTGCATAGTCTAGTTCTAACCACCTGCTCCAGTTAATTCACGTCCTCAGAAGTCCTTGCTTGACTGGATCAGATACACTGCTGTTAGGCAATGGCGTGAAATGTTACATGCAGATAGGAACTAAAGTCTGCAGGAAAGTAGATCTCCAGGAGGAGAGTTGGTGACCATTGGTCAAAGCAGTTCCATCATGTTTTTTTTAAAGCCGCTTTACTTGTTCCTACCATTTAAAGAGGATGCCCTGATATTACAATGCTGTTTGGATGGAGAGGAATCAGTTTGAGGTCCTACTGTTGTCCTTCTAGGATAGCGAGGGGATGCACCAGTGATTTGAGCTGTGAAGATCTCTTAAAGTTACTGTTAAATTTATTCCTAAATTCACTTCTGTGTTACTCTTGTAAAGTTACTGTTGATGGAGAGAGTTAAGTCTCAGCACTGGGACTTGGCTGGACTGAAGTTTAGTAGTGTGAGAACTGTAAATATCCTGTATGTCAGTGATGAGCTTTATAACGAGCCAGTTATTGTTTCAGAAACTGTTAAGACCAAATATATTTTGAATGCATTCCGGCCTGACGTATTTATTACTTAGATGATTAGTGACTGGACTTATTTATAATAATGATAAATGGAAGAAAATGGACCAAAGGGGTCAAGTTTGGCCGAGAACTGTCGAACGAACAGTTTCTCAGAGGTCTCTCATAATCAGTTTATTTATAGAGCTACCTGAGGCCAGATGTGAGAGATCTCAGCAGCCTTTTTGGTACTTTTATGGCTTAGCTTGTCAGGAAGAAAAAGACCATTCCTGTGGACAAAGGGGTCAGTAACTCATTTCATTAGTAGGGCTGTAGTCTTGAAAAGCATCATTCTTGTTGTATTACAACTCATTGCATAAATTTCACTGCTTATTCCTTCATCCAGTTACTGCAAGCGTAAGTGCCAGTGCAGGTCTTAGACAAGGCAGGAGATAAGAAATAACTTGAATTCTGCTTTAAATACTGTGCATTGCGATGGACATCATTAATATCGTTATACTTATTTAATGTAAACGTGCATTGTTCACAGAGACCTTTAAATGCAGTCTTTTAGTTTTATATATAGATTAGACATGATTGTGTGTAATATATAGATATTATATACCTGATTAGTTAATAGTAATGTAAATAATAGTTTTTACATTGCCAAAATATTTTCAATTACAAGTGCTCTGACTGGCACAGGTTCTAGATTTTTTCCCTTTTCTCAGCTTCAGGCTCACACAGGAGGACAGTCTTTCTCACTACCTATCTGTCTACCTTGGCTAGTGCAGTACTGCAAACATTTATGCTAATTCATGTTACCCTGCTGTTACTTCCAACTACTCAGTTACAGTGAAACTAGTTTTGGAATTACTCATAACCAAATAATAATCTGTGGTGTGTCTGAATTTGGTTAACTGTTTATGGTAGTTGTGAGGATTGTTTGGGGTTGGGAGGTTTGGGTGAGGGGTTCTCTCCCTGCAGCGAAGAGTCATTACAATATTTATTTCACTGTAGACGCGATCACATGAATGGCCTCTTAATTCACAGTCATGTTTTAAAGAGAATACAATTTAAATATGAATCAGCACAGCTTTAACCCGTTACACCCTCCTGATTATACCAGTAGAATTTTCTGAAGTCTTGGAAAACTGTACTGATTTAATTCTTATTCTTTAAAAGAAAACCATGTATAATTTGTCTCAGAAAGAACGGAATGGTAAATGCAGTTTTCTCCTGCTGTAGAACCAGATATTTGTAAACATATTTTGTTGAAGAATAAAAACTATATTTTATCAAGCCTAAGAATTTCTTTGACTTGCTTTCATCGTCGAGAGACTACCTATGCGTACTGAAGTGATTGATCAACGAATCACCAGCTTATTCATGTAGTAGCAGTGAAGTGGACACTGATGGTGAAGTGCTCAGCATCTGCCACATAGTGGCAGCAGTGTGCTAGATTTGTAGTTCAGCGGTTCATGAAGAGTTCATGAACTACCAACAACTGTTACGTCCCAAAAAAACAAAACCCTTATTGTGGAAAGGTTTTAAACAAGCTTTTATCCAATTGTCTCAACAAATGCTATCATGTGTGTGCATACATTTGTGGATGTGCATTATATATGTTTGCTATTAGTGTTTGGTTCTGTACTGATAGTCCTGCTGTCTCGTCCTCCACCTCTGGACAGTGTGTGATGCGACCTCATCTCCAGTAATAACCTGTACCCCCTTACGCACAACTATGCAGCCTCACTGTACCACTATACAGGATCCATATCAGCGTGAACGGGCAGGCAGGTCTCCCCTTTTCCATCTCTCCCTCTCACTCTCTGGACGTATGGGGTGGCACCATATGGCAGGCCGCTGTGTGCCATGCTGGTGAGCTGGCAGTGGGCGAGTGTGCCACGGGCCAGGCGTCAGTCACCCCTCTCGCGGGACTCGCTCAGGTTAGCGTGAAGACAGATGGCCGTGGCCGTTACCGTAACGGCAGGCAGGGGGGGCGAGATCAGGAGTCCAGGGCAGAACGGGCAAACCTGTGTCATCACCCAAGACAAGCAGAGACACTGGCATTGAGGACCAGGTTCTGACATTAGCACTGTTGAAAATGGATTAGTTCTACCAGGGGAGCCTCTATAATGTAATTTGTAAGGGATTTTGTACAGGATGAAGTATGTGTGAACATCATTTTACGCCATGGGCGCAGTGCTCAATAACAATAACAACACGGAGCATGTCAGTGTCTATTGCATATCTTGCTGTTACATTGCTGTAAGATCACACAGCAGTCATGTTCACAAAGCTCTCACTAAAGCTGGATAACTAAGGCCCGAAGTGAGCGCTGTCTAGGAATCTTCCTTACCTTTTCTCTGATTGGACAGGCTTGACTTTTGGGTGGAGTTATCTGATTATCTGAGACATTCTTCTTTGAAATATCGCTTATCACTACTGTTACTGAGTGAGCTTCAGGTTCTGCATATTACAAAAGGTTGTAACAGTCTGGATCAAACAGGAAGCAGTAACAAAAATGCAAAAAATGAAAACATGACATAACATTTCCATCATATTTTTTTGGTAATGAGCCAAGTCATGTAGAAAAATGAGGACTGTATATTCTGTGGGATCCTAGTGTTAAACATAAGTACTACACAGGCCACTCTGTGTGGAAGTGTCACAGAGTAATCCACTCCAGAATTATTACTGTTAGACTTGCAAAAAGTGTGCAGGTATAGACTGGAATTAAATCATGTTGGTGATCTAAACTGAAGTACCTGGTAAGACTAATACAGTTAAAGTTTTACTACTGTTTCAAAGTTAAAAGTCATTGTATTCAAGTATATAAATCAATTTTGAATATAAATTAAATTATTCTAATATGATGCTGCTTCATAGGTTTTATATGTTTTGAAAGAAGCTGTAAGAAATAAATCAAAGAATTCTAAACAGAGCTGTAAATGAGCCATTTGTTCATATAAACTTTAACAGGAAAAGTGCTTAGGTCAGGGCTGCCCAAAGTGTGCCCAAACCTTAAATGCACCCCATCAACCAATTTTGTAACATATATAACTTGTAAAAATCTTTTTATTAAAAATGTTATAATTATTGTTATTCATATTATTATTCATATTATTATTCATATTATTATTATTTAGAAGTGTGCTTTCAAGTATTTTAGTAACAACAATCTAAGATGCAGTGATAAAATACATTCTTAAAATTAATTTGAAACCTGTCAAGCTTCTTTATTTGTGTGTAGTTTTGTTTTTTGGCCCCTCAGCCTTTCACAAACATTGCACTTTGGTCCCCTATAACAAAAAAAAATTGGGCACCCCTGTGTAAGTTTTACTAATTAGTATTAAATGTATAAATATTATAGAAGAGATGTCACTGCGGCCAATGAAAGCTTGGTAAATAGATGGAAAATCAATATTAAAAACGTCTGAAACATGCACTGAAACCCTCACTTCCACACATGATGCAAGTTAAGAGCAGGAAGGCAATATTAACAGCTGGAGTTAAACTCACTGGAATCCTACACTCTCAGAAATAAAGGCCTCTTGTCACTGGGGTGGGACCCTCAAGGGTACATCTCAGTACCTTTAGCCAGGGAACATAACTGTACCATAATCCACTGAAACGATATTTTCTAAGCTGTATTGACTCCACACCCCCCGTCTCGTCTCCAGGCTTTTTATTTTATTGTTCTGTTTACATACTTTTCACCTGGAAAAATGTATTTAAGGTTCACAATTGGACCTTAAAACCATTGATGTACCTTTGAGGGAACATTTACATTGTTAGTTCCTTGATGAGCTAAAAATGTACCTGCACAGAACCTTTATTTCTAACAGTGTAGAGCAACTCCAGAAGTGCTTATCCTGTCAACTTAGTGTCACACCTGCATTTGCACTGGTTTTGCTAATTAGTGTAAAAGTGGCTAATTTAATAGAAGGCATGTCACGATGGCCAGTAAACTGTGGTTAATAGGTGTGCGGACAATTAGCGTTCCAGAAAGCTCTAAAAACATGCACTCAAACACCCACTCCAGTGATGTAAGTTAAGAACAGCAGGCCAATAATAAGATGAGAACCACTAAGCATAAATCAGCAGAAGGTGTGAAAGAGGGAGAGAGGGATGGAGCGATGGAGAAAGAGAAGAGAGAAGAGAGGTATTCATAGGTCTTCAGCTGCCCTCAAGGCTAGCAAGCTGTTGTACACCACACACTCTCACACTCTTTTTGCCATGCTTGTCTTCTCACTCTCCCTGTCTCTCTTTGGCTGTGTCTCGCTCTCGAGTTGACGTTAAAGGAATTGCTGTGGAAAAGAACTTCCCCAGGCCTTCTGAGTCTGATGCGGTTAACGTCCCCGGCGATTTTTGACGGACAGGCGACAATATCCAGACCTCTCCTGACACAGGTGTGTGTGTGTCTGTGTGTCTCTCTGTGTGTGTGCTGGTAAAATGGGTGCATTCCAGCAGTCCAGGCATATTAGACTCACTATCTGAAGTAAAAGCACTGCCGGGAGAATAAGATCATCATAGCTGAGCACATAAATGGGGACCTGAAGACAAATTTAGAAGGAGATAAATGAATAAACATTCATGCATATTACTCTGACTTCAGTCTTTTTTTGCAGATAGCGGTCAGAAATAGCAGATAACTAAGAATAGTCGCAAGGATTCAGGTTAAAAGGGGCAGTATGGATGGTGAATAAGCGTCTGGTGCGGACATGCTCACTGACTCACATCCCTCAGACCAGGCCCACACTTCTGTCACGGTCTTCATGCCAGCACAGTTGATTTTATAAATAAATTGTGCCAGGAGGATTACTGCAGTAGGCCAACGCAGAGGTCAAACGTGGACAAAAGTCTTTTTTTCCCTCCTTTGGCATGCTGTAACCTAGATTGTGGTCAGCATAAATACCCATTACAGCGTTCCATTGAGACTGCCTCATGGACAAGATCTTAAGATGAATTTATCTGCATTAAAATTAGAGCTTTGATAGCTGCACACTTCAAACTAAACCCAGACCAACCTCTCTGTGTTATAGGCTAATGAGTTTGTCCAGTCATGCTAGGCCAAGGGCCGGCAACCCAGATGTTAAGAAGAGCCCTTTTGTCCTTTCAGCAAAAATCAAACCACCTTGAGAGCCACAACATTTTATGTCAGTTTTACCATTTTGGCTGTAAACATGTCTCAGTATGTGCTAATGTACTAGTGTAGGCTAATAGATTTAATATGAACGATAACGCAGAATTACTTTGCTCTGCTTTAAGCTTTAGCTCAGCTATAGCCGCTTTTCTCACATCTCTGGCAGGAAACTTTTCCACAAAAGTGGAACAGTTTTTTGTAAAATTCCTTTTACTGTTTCGATTTTTCACGAGGCTGAAGCTTCTCATTCACCAGCTTCTTGTTTGAATTTTCCTGTTCCATCTTAAATGGTGCAGCAGGCACCTGATCTTAGCTTTGTGGATTTTTAGTGTTTGACAGTTTCTCATTGCAGATTAAATGTAACAGGAAACCAGCTGGAGTGATTATAAATGCAAATAAGTCCATTCATCTCCAAATTATCGATTAGGCGAGACTGTTGTCTGCGTTGCAGTGGTGACCAGCAGTCTGCGCACCAATCTTTAGGGTTAAAGGGTGAATTAGCGGTTATACATTAACTCCAACGCTTAAGACCTTTTAGTGTTAAAACTGTGTTGAACAATCAGCAGAGCTTTATTTTACTGTAAAGGAGGATTATTTTATTTTTACCTACAAATCTAATTCTGCTGTGGAGCCACAACAGGACAGTAAAAGAGCCACATGTTGCCGATCCCTGTGCTAGGCTAAGCTAACTTCCACCTTAAAGGGCAATTTAAATTCTGATTTTTCAAAACTTCTGCGTAGTTTAAATGTTGAGGTGTAAACAAAAGTCATTCAAAGTGGTTTGGTGTGAAATGTTCCATTGTAGAGAAACTTGATGCGGCAGAAATGTTCACAGCAGTTTTAAAAGGAACCAGACGCCTGAAGAGTTTATCGCCTCTAAAAGCTTAATGGTTATGTATACACTGTTGATGTCTGAGGCATTGTTTTGTGATAGTTTTGCAATAATCTTTTGGCTTCAAACATACAATATTTTAATACATTCATGGTGGATACATGCAGGGCATTGTGAGGCAAAACAGTCCCCAATAAAATTCATGTTTTTTCCAGCTTTACCTCTATTTTACCACCATTTATTGTTGCATTCAAATACTGAAAGGGTTCAATGGTGGTTTTGGATAGTAAATAAAATCACTATATTTGCAATGTAAACACT